GAAGCGAGGGGAGGAGGGGGGAGACAGGTCCCAGGCTGCCCCCAGGGGAGGGGGGAAGTGAGGGGAGGAGGGGGCTCCTACCCCCAAGAAGAGAGAGCTAGTCATTGGGCGTTGCCAGTTTCCCTCAGGCCAGGGGCTGCCTGGATCTCTCTGGCCTCTGGGTTGGGGGTAGTTCCTCTGTGCTCCTCTGTGCTCCCTGTGCCTGTCTTGGGAGCACATATCTGTTCATCAGTTGCTCACTGACCCCTCCTCCGGGAGCCCAGCGATGGGCTGGACACCAGCCCTGCTTTCCCAGACCCCACAGGTACTGGGGGAGGCAGAGGCATGAATTGGCGCCATCAGATGTGGCAGGTGCCACAGCCAGAGGATGGTGAGGGCGCCGCGGAAGGAGGAGGGATTGGGGAGAGCTTCATGGGGGAGGTAACGAGCATGCCTGGGTGACCGCGCTGGGTCCTCTTCCATCCCTGGCAGTTTAGAGCACGGATCTGGAACCAGATGGAGCAGTGTGACCTCGGGCAAGTTACTTGACTGCTGGGGGTGTCTTCTCTTCATAGACTGGGGATAGCAACTGTCCCAGCCTCCTGGGGTCATGGAACTGCAGCACAGCACCTAGTAGCTGTCATAGTTTGCACTTATCACGGGGCAGGCCCAGGAAGTACCTGCTGGGCAGATGGCGGCCGGCGAATGAGCCACAGGTGCTGGGAGGGACTGGTGTCCATATCGTGTCTCCCTAGGCTGACCTGCAGTGCCCTGGGCAGTTCCGAACACCCAGGACACTGTAGAGGGTTGTGGACTGAGAAGGCCAACCGTGGCTCTGGCCTGGCTCTACCTCTTTGTGATCCCAGGAGAGTCCCTCGCCTTCTCTGGGCAGCAGATTTTCATCTAAACAATAGAGGTTTTGGCCAGAGGATCTCTGAGGGCCCTTCTGGCTCTGGCATCCCACGGTCCCGAGTCCCACTCGCCATGGTCACGAGCGTCCACTCTAGCTATACTAGAATGTTGTGACCCTCCGGGGCGGAAGGACACCCCCCCACAGGGGCAGTCCCTGTCCTTGCACTGGGTGCCCCACTTTGCCCACTTCACAGATGAGAGAATCGAGGCTCAGAGGGCTATAGAACTTGCTTAAGGTCACACACCTTATAGGAACAGAGCCGGGGCCTAAAGCCAGGCCTGTCTGAGTTCTGAGCACCTCCACTGGACCTTTTTTTTTTGTTGTTCGATCCCTGCAGATAGGCCCAAAGGGCGCGGAGAGGGGAAGCGGCTTGCCCAGGTCACATACCCAAGCGAGCCTCGGAATCGTGAGCTGGGAGGGGGAGGGGTGAGAGGAAGGTCCCTGGCTGCACCTGGCTGGACCCTAGCCCCACACATGCCTCTTCCTTCCAGGTGGCCGACCAGATGACACTACTACAGAACTGCTGGAGTGAGCTGCTAGTATTTGACCACGTCTACCGCCAGATCCAACACGGCAAGGAGGGCAGCATCCTGCTGGTCACCGGGCAGGAGGTGACCAGACCCTACTGTGCCCCGTGCCATGCCCTAAAGGGTGCTTCCAAAATTCTGAGCCCAGAAGAGGTCCTAGGCCTCTCCAGGGATGGCCCTGGGCACCCCGGTATCAGCCCTTTCCCCAAGTTCATGCCCGACCTCCCTCTGACCAGCCCTGGCCCTGGCCTTGACAGGTGCCAGCCCCTAGGAAGCAGCTCAGGGATGTGGAGAGAGTCAGGGAGGCTCTTGGAGGAGGTGGTGGTGGCCCTGGGTCTTGAAAGAACAAATAGGGGTCGGTCAGGTCATAAAAGGTGGTGGGGGGCAGTCCCACCCCCATCACAGCAGAGGGGACAGCATGGATGAAGGCGCACAGGAGGATGTTTAGAACTGCTGAGTTACCAGAGGCTGCTGGTGTGTGGGTTTGGGGGGCCAGGAGCCCTGTGAGGTGAGAAGTAAGGCTGGGGACAGACCCTAAATCCTGAGTGGATGAAGGAATGGGCGAAGGAATTTGGGCCCCCCGCCCCAGAGCAGGGAATTAGAAGCCCTAGGATAGGAGCTGGGAACTCCTGAAATCAAGCAGGGAGCCACGGGAGAGTTTTAAGTGAGGAAGGGCTCATCCAGGTTGTATTTGAGGAAACACCCAGAGGGGGTGGGGTGGGGGGTGAGGAAGTCGAGGCCATTGTGGAATGCTGGGGACCTGGGAGGGGGCAGTTGAAGGAGGAGGACCCCCCAACTGAGGGAGGAGGTGTGGGAGAAATGGAGGGAAGGAGGGAGAGCAAGAAGAGAGGCTGATGCCAGGGTCTAGGCTGGTGGGGGGAGCATCGGTCCTGAGGGGGAGACAGGAGGAAGAGTGGTTGACAGGTGCTCTGGGGGTGGGGGTTGGAGGCTGAGGCCCTGCTCCGCATCCCCTATCTCCAACCCAGGCCCTTGGTCCTCATGCTCCGTTCTCACCCTGGGTGTCTCAGGGCATCCAGGGCCCGGGAGTGCTGGTCCCAAGGGTGTGACTTGGAGGCCACCTGTGAATGCAGATAGGAGAGTCTGAGGTATGAGCGTGTTCGTGTTGGCCTATGTCAACATGCGGCCGAAGTCTCTGAGGCCATATCTCGCCACATTTAAGCATGTGGTTGCTGAGATCTGCCTGTCACCACGTGTGGGAACTCATACATGGGTGCGTGTCTGTCGCGTTACCTTGTGAGGTGACCATACACGGGCCTGTGTGTGTGTGCGTGTGTGTTCACTTCATGAAATGGGTGGACCGCCCTGTGAGTGTGTCCGTGGGTGTGTGAGACTGGGAGCTGGGGTGTGGTCACATCCCCAGCCTGGGTGTCCACGTGTGGACGTGTGGGGCCCTGGGCAGTCCCGTGGCCATCATGTGCACGTGGATGCGGGCAGACGAGCTCCGACCCTGCCCCACACTCAGCACGACGTGGCGTTTGCAGCAGCCGTTTGCGTGACAAGGACCCTTCAGCTCTCCCAATGCACCCAGCTGCCCAGGGCCGGCTCGGCGGCCGCAGCGCGAGGAACCCTGGGAAGGCGGGGCCCTCGCTGTGGCACTCGGAGATGCTGCCCCCCCTCCCCCCCTCCCCCCCCAGCTCCTCCCGCCCCCGGTCCCTAATCAGAGCCCCCGCCCCGGCGCCCTCTGCCCCCGCCGCTGACGCTGACGCCCGCCCGCGCAGGTGGAGCTGACCACGGTGGCCGCCCAGGCGGGCTCCCTGCTGCACAGCCTGGTCCTGCGGGCGCAGGAGCTGGTGCTGCAGCTGCTGGCGCTGCAGCTGGACCGCCAGGAGTTCGTCTGCCTCAAATTCCTCATCCTCTTCAGCCTCGGTGAGTGCGCCCGGCCCGGCCTGGGGCGGCGAGCGGGGGCGACGGAGGTGGTGGGCCCGGCGCCGTGAGGCTCTGCCCCGGGGGGCTCCGCTGGGCAGGGACTGGGCCTGCGGTGAGTAAGGGTAGGAGGGGACAGGCCTGGCTCTTAAAATGGCGGGTGTTTCCTCTCTGGGCCTCAGTTTCTCTGTTGGGAGGTACAGAGGACCAAGACAGTGTCTAAGATTTGCCCTCTGTGGGACGAAGGACTCCGGAGAATTCGGTAAATGCCCGGCTGGAAGCCCCAGAAAAGTGCCCAGGTCACCTCCGGAAAAACGCCTGTGTGATTTCGGGAGCTTCTGTTCCCTGGCTCCCATCCTGAGGTCCCTGTTTTCCCGGTTCCCTGCTCTAGGGGGGCCCAAATTCTGACTCTGGGCTCCCCACTCATTCATTCACTCATGTACTCATTCTACAAACATCTGCTCAGCATCTGCACTCTGCAAGGCACTGCGGACACAGGGTGAACAAAAAAGATCCCCAATCCGTATTGTCATGGAGCCATCCTTCTCTCCAGGGAGAGACAATAAGCGTAATATGATTAGTAAGCTATAGAAATGAGTGAAATGATTAGTAAAATGTATAGCCTGGAAGACTGTGAGCAGGGCGAAGGAGGAAAGTAAAGCAGGGAGGTGGCAGAGGGTGAGCCCAGTCCACCAGCCCCACTCCCCGAGTCAGGGGTCTCCCTCTCATTGCCCTCCTGACGCACCCAGCCCGTCCCACTCCAGCCTCCACCCTCCTCGGGGCTCCCATCAGGCTGGCCTCCTGTCCTCCCTCACCTAGCGAGCCATCTGTGCCTTCCCCGGGTCCAGCAATGCTGTGAACATGAACGTGTCCTTGCTGCCAGGTGGCTCCCAGGCCGGTATAGGCCTCCACCTAGTGCTGCCAGGGTGGGAACAGAGATGGGGGACCCGGAGTGGGGAACAAGAGCTTTGCCTAGAAGGCTTCCTGGAAGAGGGACATCTGAGCAGGGCCTTGGAAGATGAGTAGGAGTTTGCTGGAAGGATAAATCTTTTAGCAGAGGTGTAGATGGGATGGCAGGTCAGAACAGAAGGGCATGAATGCCTCATCACTTGGAGAGGGAGCAGGATTCAGATGTCATCTTTGTGGTAGATGACCTCATAGCCCCAGTCTGGCAAGGGAGCGCCACCTGCCTGAGAGTGGGGAGAGCTGGGCGGGATGGGGGGTAATTAATGAAGAGTTGACCATGGGAAGCCCAGTCCTCAGGCTAGGGCCATGTGACTGGGTGCCTGGGCCAGTCTCCTGACTCCCGCACAGCAGGCTGGTAGCTGGAGGGCTTCTATGCAAGGCTACGAGGCTTGGTAGAGGGGACAACCCTGGTGCATCGTGGAGACAGAATCTTGGGCAGCCAGTTAGGAGATGTGGCCTGGAGCCCATGGAGGGGCCTCAGGGGCCCAGGCCGGGCTGGCTTCAGCTGGGGGAAGCTCCCTCCTTCTTCCCTCCAGTGGTACCCGCCTCCCAACCTTGTGTCTGTGAGCTGTCAGGCTCTGGGAACTGGCTCAGGCCAGAGCCATGCTGGTGTGTGGTTTGGGGGTGTGGAGACTCCAGGAATTATGTGCATGGTTGTGCCTTTGCATTTGTGCCTTTGTTTTCACACATGTGCAGACTATGAACTTTCACAGGCTTTTTACATGTCACGTTGTAGAAACAATCTGTTTGTAATTGGGGAGTGATGCGAGATTTGGAGACATGAAGGATTTGGAGCGCACATAGAATTGGAGTGTGGGGCCCGTGATGGTCAGGGTGGTTTCTTGACATGACCCCCATCTAGAGGTCTCCAGGGAGGCCCAGAGGAGGGGTGGGTGGAGGGTGGGCTGCCAGCCACCAGCCTTCTTGGCCAGGCCTCCCCGTAGAGCAGATGCCATGTTTTGGCTTTCTAGACCCCCCCAGGGCCCGAGGCACACCCCCGTAGCCCCTGCCCCTCTTCCAACAAAGCCCTGGGCGCTGGGGACTGCCAGGCCCAGTACAGCTCTGGCCTCCAGCAGGCGATAAATCCAGGACGTCTCCTTGTACGGGGCGTAAGGATAGCAGAGCCGAGCCCAGCCCTCTTCCCCCGCTCCGGGTGAGTGGCCATGCTCCGAAGCCTCAGTGCCGGCCCCTCCTTCTTGCTAGTCTTCCTCCTGTTTGCCAGAGTGGGTAGCTAGGGCCTGAGAGACAGGGACTCTCTCCCGTGCTTGTCTGGCATAGGCTGGAGGGGCCGGATGCAGGAGAGAGAGAGCATGCATATATATGCGTGTGTGTTCACACGTGTGAGGCAGGGAGGGACAGTGGTTAGGAATGGCGCCTAGGGACGGACCGCCTGCATTCTAAATCCGGACTCTCTCTCTGGCTGTGTGCCCTTGAGCAAGTCACTCCCCTCTCTGAGCCTCTATTTTCCCATTTGTAAGATGACCATCATAATAATCTTTAATTCGCTATGAGGATTTCATGAGGGAATTCCCCCAAAGTGCTCAGTGCACGGTCTGGCCCCTTGGAATGTGCATCGGTGTTGTTTCTCTCCATCATTACCACCAGTGTTGCAAATGAGCAAATGAATGAATGAAGTGAATGAATGATCAAGTCAGTCTCTGTCTTAATGGCTTCTGTGTCTGGCACAGTGCCTTATCGCAGGGAGGCGGGTCTGGCGAGTTGGGTGGGGGGACGCCCAGCCCAGCAGGTTAGAAACTAACTCTAGTGAGGCCAAGTCTGGGAGGGGAGGAGGAGGAGGAGGCCCCTATGCCGGGGCCTGCCTGAGCTCCTGGGAGAACAGTAAGACAGGAGGCCAGGTGAGGTACAGGGGCTGTTGGGTGACAGGTTCCAGGTTCCAGGAGGAGCCTGAACAGGCCAGTGTGATCAGGGTTGGACCGAAGAGAAGAAACCACCCACACCTAAGATATCAAGGAAGGCTTCTTGGAGGAGGGGCCTCTGAGCTGGGCCTTGCAGTATGAGTAGGAGTGTTCTAGGTGAAACAAAGCAAGCGGCAGCAAAGGGCTGTGCAAAGGGATGGGGAATCCTGGAAGTCTGCTGTGGTTGTGGGTCAGGGAGGGGCTGAGCTGAGGAAGGCCTCGAATGCCAGGCCAAGGACCTTGACCCTTCCCTTGGGAAGGCTTTTCAGCTGGAGTAACATGATCGCATTTGCATTTTAGCAAGGTCCTTCTAGCTGCATCACGGGAGAAGGATGGCAGGTGGCAGCCCAGAGCCCTGCAAGAGGCTAGCCCCGGGGCTGGAGTGAAGTGGGCAAGTTTGGGCAAGATGAGGGGGAAGATCTGCCCAGAGTCTGGAAGGGCGATAGGGCTCTCCCATGTTCCCCGCCGCCAGGCCCCAAGAATAGGTCCCCAAGGGACCTGGAGCCCAGAGAGGGACGGCCACTTGCCCTTGGACCTCCAGCTGGCACGCTGGGCATCACCTCCTTGGGCTGGGCAGCCTCATGCCCTGTGACGACTGTCCCCCCACTCCCCCCACCCCATCGCCTGCAGCCCCGTCAGCGCCTCCTGCCCGCCTGCCTCCGCAGAAGGGTGCCATTTGGTGTCTAAATAGCCGTCTCCTTGCAGGCGTGGAGGCAGGTAAGGAGGTTTAATTAAAATTAGTGCCTCTCTCCTGGCAATCGCGGTGTTTATGAAGATGGGCCCGGCTGGCATTGTTCCGGAGAGGACTTAATCGAAGCTTAATGGATTGACCTAACATTCGATTTCCTGACTCCCATTGAGGCGGCCGCTGCAGCATTCCCTTAAGCGTTTGCAATTTACCCACTGCTCCACGCCAACAAAAGGCGGCCTGAATAGCAGCCCCACTCGAGGGGCCATTGTGCGCGGGGGCGCCTGCCTGAGTCACCGCTATTGGGACAACATTCTTTATGCCTCGCTGGAATGAAAGGATTATTCAAATATTCAATTAAACCGTGAAAAGGGGGCTTTTCTGAGAACCTGGGGGCCCCCAGCTCCGCAGCGCTAGCAGGCTGCTCTCCGAGGTGGGGGTGCCATCTCCCAGCCCCCTCCCGCCTCCCACCTCCAGGATTGCCGGAGCTGAGCAGGCTGGGGGGACACGCCGGGCTTTTCTCCCCCATGCCCATCTCCAACCTGCGGCGTCCCGGGGCCCAGAGCTCGGCAACACAGATCAGGTCTGGTTCTTGGGCACCCTGTGAGGTGGAGATTCGTCTGCCCCCATTTTGCAGATGACGACGGGAAACAGCTCAGGGGAAGGGCCTTGCCCAAGGTCACCCAGCTGGTGGTGGAGCTGGGATTTGAACCCCCGATGTATTAAGGGGGCACCTCCAGGTCTGGGTGTCCCCTGCTCCCGTGTCCAACGGAAGAAAAGCATGGTGTTCATGCTCTGTCACACCCGTTATCCCACAAGCTTCACGACAGTCCCTTTGGGGGGGGTGTGCAGGGAGGTGGGAGAGGGGGCATGACTTGACAGTGGTCTCCTCCAGGGTGAGGAGGAAGAGGAGTCTGGAGTCCAGAGTGGCCTCCAAAACCTAGGATCCCAGGGGTGGGGGCCCTTGGACAGGACTCCTGGATTGGACGAAACAAAGTTTTCATGTCCTGTCTCTCAGGAATTGACGTCCAAGCCTGACCCCGCCTGTGCTTACCCACCGGGCTTTGGAGCCAGGAGACCTGGATTTGCATCCAGACTCTGGCACCTGCTGGGTGTCCCAGGCATACCCCACTGTCCCTGCGCCTGGGGGATGCCCTTTCCCGCCTGCCTGGGTGTCTGTGGGGATTAACTGAGCTATGCACGATGCCCAGCGGGTGCCTGGGAAACTGGGTGCACCTATATATAGTCATCAGGGCTTAACTGGTGACTGCTTCCTCCCCCCAGCCCTGTAGCCCACCGCATGGGGGCGGCGGGGGTCTCCAGTCTGCAGAGAGCTGAGAGATCCAGAGAACTGCTAAGAGTGGGGGCTGTCCCTGAGCGCTGTCCTTGTTCCGTACCCACCCCCTGCACTCCACCCCATTGTCCCTGGTACGGCGCTGCGGTGCTCTGGAGAACAGTAAATCCTGGTAAAGCCGAGGCTCTGGTCCCCCCAGCCCCCTCCCACTCCTGCCTCTACTGCAGCATCCTAGCCCATCCTCCTCCACCCCCAGCTGTTTCCTCTGGGCCCCCTTACTGCTGTGTGGCCTTGAGCTGGTCCCTACTCTTCTCTGGACCCCCAGCCTCCTACAGTGCATTGCCAGAAGGCAATGTCAGGAGAATTGCCCAGCCTGGGCTGGGGGTAGAGGGCAGGGGGCAGTGGGGAGAGGTGGGGGTGGGAGGTGAAGGTAGACAGGACCCTATAGGATGAAAAGAGGTTGGGACAGGGATGGGGTCAGTAGTCACCTCTTGTGCCTAGGAGGCCAGCTTCGGAGAGGGTGGGGGCTTCTTGTGACCTTTGAGTGTGTCTGGAGTAGTCCAGGCTAAGGAGCAGGGCTGCAATGCACAGTTGAACAGGTTGTTCACTGCACAAGGGCACCTAGGCAGATGATGAATAGGGGCTGACTTCCAGCTTGTATGCCCCTTGCCATACTGTCTCTGTGTACAAGGGGGAACTTTTTCGTAATTGGCACAAAGGTGCCTTAAGGGCTCATGGTGATCCTGGGGGAGGCAAGGAAGAAAATGACCCTGGCTCACTTACTGAAGGGAGGTGAGGGGGCCAGGGGTGGGGGTGGAGGACTGGGGCCAGATCCTGCCATACGCCTTGGGCCCAGCTCAGGTTTCCCTAAATCCAACTTTGGACAACACAGGCCTCAGCAGGCGCACCGGGGGCGGCTGGGGATCAGGGTTGCCAGGAGCATCAAGCCCTCCTGGCGCAGTGGGTGTTAAGAGGGATTAGAAGGGCCAAGGGCTGCACATGCTGGGCTCCAGACTCCCCCGCAGCCACAGAGGGGAAGTGGACGGATGACCACTCCCTGAACCACCGGATGCTATATCGCAGGCCAGGCTGGGCTGGATTTGGGGGTGGGGGACCGGTTCTGTAGATTCCTGCTGAACCTCAGCTGCCAGGCAGGGCACCAGCTGGGGGTGCTGCCCAGGAGCTGAGAGACACCTGCCAAGCAGTGATGAGGACCTGAGTGACAAATTGACCCTCTCTGGGTGCCCCTGGGGTCCAGACACCTGTGCAGGCCCTGGCCCCCAAGCTCTTAGCCCTGCAAGGTGAGCATGAGCCATTCACAGAGGAAGAAGGCCTCTCAGGCCAGGAGGGGCCAGGGCACAAAGCCGCACCTCCTAACTGGTGGGCCTAGGATTTGAACCCCAATCGGCCTCATTCCAAAGACATTTTATTTTTCATGTCTTCACTGGACCTCCACTGGGCGTGCAGGAAGCACTGGTCACACTCCTCTGTCCCCGGCACAGGTGATCACCGGTCCACGCAGAGCTGACTGCCCTCGTCCCTCCCACAGGCAGCCACACCTTCACGTTTAACTTGGATTCCCTGTTTGTCCCTGTTCTTACATAATGCGCATGCTTCTGTACAAGCATTTTTAATTGATGTAGACGACTTTGCCTTGTGGATCTCATTCTGGATCTTCCTTTTCTGTTTTTTTCCCACTGAGCTCTATGCTTTTAAAGATCTGTCCGTTTGCTCTGTGGTATGTCTGCTCCACTGCGTGTGTCTACCTCGCAGGACCCCCTGGGGAGCACCTCCCTAGATGCTGCTTAGTGAGCGTCCTCGTCCCCCATGGCCCCACGAGGGAATCTCCTTGCGGTACTAGAGGCTCTTGGTCGGTCACAGGGTAGACCAAAGGAGTGCCTGTCGCTCTCTAGAATAGGGCCACCAGTGTGTGAGCCTGGCAGCTGGGAGATGGGACCTCTGCAATCACAGCGTGCTTGCCGCTGATGGTGCTGATGGTGACCACTGTGGGGATGATGGCAACAGGATGGTTTTTTTGTTTTGTTTGTTTGTTTGTTTTAAGTAGGTTCCATGCCCAGCGTGGAGCCCAACACGGGGCTTGAACTCATGACCCTGAGATCAAGCCCTGAACGGAGATCAAGAGTTGGATGCTTAACTGACTGAGCCACCCAGCTGTCCCCAGGAAGGTTTTGACCCTGGGGCTGGGGATGGTGTTGATCATGGTGGGGTGAGAGTAGGGGTAATAACGGTGACATACTGGCCTTCTTATGTGCCAGACACTCTTCTCCATGCACTTTCCACTGACCAAGTCCCTGAATTCTCCCGACAGTCTTATGAAGTAGGTACTCCTGTCCCCGTTTTGCAGGAAATTGAGAAGTTGAATCACCTGCCCAGGGAGATAGCTGCTGAGGTTGGGGTGGTTTTGGAGGTGATGGAGGTGTTCCTCGTGACCAGTGGGATAGTGGCAGGGGCAATAACGATGGTGACAGGTAATCGTGCTTGGGTGGGTGATGGTGGCGGTGGCCGTGTTCGGGATACCTGCAGAGAGGCCAGCGTTGGTGACCGCCGCTGACAGTTGGGTGGATGGTGGCGGCAGTGGCCACATTTGGGAGGGACACGGGGCGGTCAATTTCGGTGACTGCTGCTGGTGGCCGTGCTCCTCAGCCCCGGTGATGGTGGCTCCAGTGGCGATGGGAGGCCCGGCCATGTCCTTGCCGGTGGCAGCGCCCCGTCTTTGGTGCTTCTGGGGGATGTTGGTGTTGGTGTTGGTGTTGCGGGTGACCGCGGCCGACGTGATGGGCCGCTGGTGGTGACAGAGCTCCTCCCTTTGCAGATGTGAAGTTCATGAATAACCACAGCCTGGTGAAGGACGCTCAGGAGAAGGCCAATGCTGCCTTGCTCGATTATACCCTGTGTCACTACCCCCACTGCGGGGACAAGTTCCAGCAGCTGCTGCTATGCTTGGTGGAGGTGCGCGCACTGAGCGTGCAGGCCAGGGAGTATCTGTACCACAAGCACCTGGGCAACGAGATGCCCCGCAACAACCTGCTCATCGAGATGCTGCAAGCCAAGCAGACTTGAGCCTGGGCGGGGTGGGGCCGGGCCTGGGGCCAGGCTGGGGGTCGCAGCCACCCCCAAGGCCCTCCAGATGGTTGAGTTTATTCTGCGACCCAGGAGCCCCACCCTGTAAGGCCCTCTGCCCCTGCGCTCTCTGAAGCCCCGTGTTTGGGAAGCTGGGTGAGGGGGGATGGGGCCTGGTTGAGGGAGGGTGGCCCCACGGGCACCTGCCTGCCACTCAGAGGGCCCCAAGAAGGCGGCTGCTAAGCACCCCCTCCCCCTCCCCTTGCTCCCAGCTGTCTGTCCTGGAGTCTGGAAGCACAGGTCCAGGGAGGAGGTTCGGGATTCCCTGGTGGGCCTCCACGTCCCTTGGGTCAGAAGTCATCCCTTTCCCCTCTCCGGGGAACAGAAGCAGAGAGACGTTGAGGGGGCATCACCTAGGGGAGAAGAGAGGGTCTCCAGAACCCCCTCCCAGAGACCAGGAGGGAAGCCCTCTGTTTTGTGAACTAGGAGTCACTGAGTTTGCAAAGTTGGTCAGGCACTGTGGGGCCTAGAGGACACTAGGGGGCGGGTTAGGACCAAGCCCTCCTCCCTAGCCCTTACACCCCATCTGACTTGTGCAGGGGAGAACTCTGACATGCTATCTGAAAAGAATTTCACTACAATCCGCTCTCTCTATCCCTCTCCCATCAGAGGAGAAGTTTCTATCTCTCTGCCACCAGGGAGCTAGAACGTTCTAGCCCCACCCACAGTTGGCCAGCCCAGGCTGGTATGTATCTGCAAAGGCTGTAGTCAAGAGGTTTGTGGGTTTGTGGGTTTTATTTGTTTTTTAATCTAGTATTCTAGATATCTTTGAAAGGTGTGTATGTGGCGGGGCAGGGGATGGATTTGAGGATTGAGGCTGGGACTTGGGGATTAGCCCCAAGTACAGCCCATGGTTTCCCTCCAAACACCCGCATGCCAAGTACCCCATGGGTGGTGTGGGACCATTGTTTCAATCCAGAGAGGAGTTGTTGCTTGCCCCTCCTTCGATGAACAGCAGGGTGTCCTGTCGGGGCTCGGAGTCTCTGTGTGTAGGAACATGGGTGAACTTGAGAAGGGTGTATGGGTCTCCAGATGGGGGACATTGCTGATAAGCCCTTTCCTCATTGGCCCCGTCCCACTGGGTCCCTTGCTGCAAACCCTTGAAGCTGGGTCTCAGCTCCCTGGCCTCCTCCTGCCCTGTGTCCTGAAGGACACTCTCCAGGGCCAGGAGCTAGGGGGAGGCCTTGGCTGTCCTCTGTCCCCGGGCTGGGCATCCACTGTCTTTCCTGCTTTCACGTTGCCATTGCAGCTTGTGCTGAGCCTGCCCAGTTGGAGGTGACTGGGCGTCCATTCTCCCTTGCCTTCCACCGCCCTGTCTCAGTGCCCACCCCTGCCCACTGAAATGTGTGCCCCTGCCAAGGCCAGAGACCCGCAGCCCCAAAATGAGAAGTGCCCTTAAGAATCTCCCCAGCCCTTGCAGCCCTGGAATAAATTTTGCATTTAGTTTCCAGCTACCTTTGCCTATTTACATTCTGGGGCCAAAGCAGAACCTCCAAGGTGGGTTTGGGTGGTCTAGGGCTGGGCGATGCTCTGATAGGGATTGACATGACAGTCAGATAAGCTTTGGTTCAAAACCTGGGACCAGAGTGGGGGTACACCAGGCACCGTTGGGGAGCCTGTGGGCCCCACATCATCCCTGGGACCTTGCCATACCCAGGAGGCCTGGGAGATGCTTGTGTCTTCCTGGGCCTCAGCCGGAGTTCCACCCTGGCCGTGCATCTCAACCGCCATCTTGGGCAGAAGGGAGCAATGATTTCATGAGCACCTACTGTGTGTGGTCCCTTATGTCCCTGTCCCTACGGTAGCCCAGTTAGGCAGGGCTTAGGATCCAGGAGAGGCACTTGGCAGGTGCCCCGCAGTCAGTTATCTGCAGGGGCAGATTCAAACCCGGGTCCTCCTGACTTGGGAGCACCGGCCTTTCCTCTCGGTCCATCTGGTGGCCCCGGGCCTGGCCCCTCTCCCTGAATCTCTTGCCTCCCCCGCTGGGAGGCAGCAGTGAGCGCGGCTGCTTTCTGAGGTGAGCTGCCTCTGCTCTAGATGTCCTCCAGGGCTTCACTGGCTTTGTCCTGTTTTGTTGTCCCATCTGCTCCTCAAAGCCACTTCGGTAGGTGGCAGCTCCAGATTACAGATGAGGAAACTGAGGTCCGGAGGGGTGAAGTGGCCTGTCCAAGGTCCCACATCAAGAAGGGGCAGAGCCATCACGCCAACCTGCATCATCCCGACCGACCTGACTAGTTCATCCCTGGGGCCACTCTCGGACCACTTCATGCCTCTGTGCACGACAGAAAAAAGATGCCCCCCCGCCAGGCACACAGCTTGGCAGTGGCTTTTATGCAAAGAAGAAGTGTCCTTTTCCCGCCTGGCACCTTCAGAAGTGAAGCAGATGCTCGGGTTCCTGCCTCTGGGGAGCTTCCAGTCTCGCAGGAGGCCTTTCAGTCATTTCGTAATCCTGTGTGATCCATCACATAAGAGCTGTGAAGAGGAGGAAGGAATTGATTCTGCCCCTGGGGAGACAGGAAGTCTTCTCGGCAGAGGTGTCATCCAAGCTGGGTTTTAAAGGATGTCCAGGGGTTTGCCAGCTAAGACAAGAGTTGGGGGCAGTGTGGGCAGGTGGCTGGGGACCTAAGCGAAGTTATTTGGGCTGGAGAGTAAAGAGAGGGGGTGGTGGGAGGAAGGGTATGGAGTAGGAGGAGGGGAGACTGGAAAGGACTCCTTGGTGGCCACTCCTGGACCTCCCCCCACCCCCACCCCCGCCAGTCCACATGACCACATGATTAGTCGGTGGGGAGGCAGGCCTCCCCTGGAGGTGAGGGGAAGGAGTCAGAGGACACTGCAAATGCAGGCAGTAGAGACCAAGTGGCCGCCCAATTCAGAGCCACCTTCTTGCTTCCCCATGTCGCGGCGCCCCTCCTCCGGCTCCGTGGCAGCAGACAGCCAGGCTGAGTGCCTTGTTCTCTGGAACCTCAGCGGTGGTCCCCAGCCTGGCATCCTCCCTATGGCACTGCTGGGCCTTCCCAGAGCAGGCGGACCGCTGCTGCCTCCCCAAACCTGCCCGGCCCCAAACCTCCCCAAACCTGCCCAAACCTGCCGGCCTCCATCTCTGCTGGGGGTCTTCAAAGCCCTACACATCACCTCTACACGGTGGGCTCTGTGTGCCCCCAGTCCCCTGCACATCCTTCTCTGAAGACAGCCGACATTCCTACTATGTGCTGGGCCCAGGGACTAGCACACAAGACTGCACTTACCCTCTTGTCGCCTGTGGGGTGGGGCTTGATGGCCCCCGTTCTGCAGATGAGGGGCTTCGGAAGGTTCGACAGCCCCCATCCCCAGAATGAAATACCTAGCCCCCTGTCCTTGCCTGATGGGTCAACCCCTGGATAGATTTTGTCCCAGACAAGCCAGGTGGGGCCCAGAGTGGAAGTGGACACTTCTTCTTTGCATAAAAGCCACTGCAACTTGTCCCTGGCTGGGTCTCGGGGCTTCTCATGTAACCCTGCCCCGCCTCCACTCACGTGTGCCTCCTCCAGGGAGGCTGCTCTGATGCTCCCCGGCTGTGCCACATCCTCTGGCTCCGGCAGCCTCTGGGCCAGCCTGAGGTCAGCAGGACAGTGTTAGCAGTCCCTGGGCCCCTCCTTCGCCTGGCTTCCACCTCAGGACCCACCCTAGTGCCCTAACACATCACCACCGCTGCTCCCCTCGGCCCTGAAACCAGCTCTACCTAAGAAGGGACCCGGACTCACAGAAGAATCTTGCCCCCTGCCACAGAGTCAGTGGTGGCCGAACCTGGTCTCGTAGCCAGAGTCTGAGTTGGGGTCTCCCCGCAGCATGACCCATCGTACCTGGAGCCAGTCCCACCTACCCTGATGCCTTCTCTGAGCAGTCTTTTCTGGGTGACTCCACCTCACTGTTACTGCCACCCCTTGGCCCCCAGGCTACCAGCTGGGGAGGCCTTCTCTGAACCTCAGTTTCTTCCTCTGTACAGCAGGGGCAATGGTGGTCACGGGGCTGAGGTGAGGACCCACAGCTCTAAGGCAATCAAGGGCTCAGTACCAGCCAGGTACACAGTAGGTGCTAATAAGTGTTGGCTGCACCTACCCTGTTAATGAAACTGGGGTTGTCTTGAGTCCCAAAGACAAAGTGGCCGCTTCCCTTGTCCCATCCTCCTCCCAGGGACTCCCCAGGCCAGGGTGACCCCCAGGGAGGAACAGGTCACAGTAGTACTATTTATTACGAGAGCTACCATGGGGCTGTCAGAACTTCCAGGCAGGGGGGCAAGGTGTGGGGGCAACAATCTTGGACAAAGTTCGGGGGCTGAGCTGGGGGGCGCAGCAGCGTCGGCACCGTGCCAGGGCGAGGCTGAGGCAGAGGCTATCTGTCCCGCAGGGGCCCCCGGTGGGGCCTTTCAGAGGTCCCCACGCAGAGCCTGGAGGAAGGTCCGCTCGCACTCTCTCTAGAAACCTGGGAGGAAGGTGCCGGGCTGAGCTGGCGGAGAATCGTGGTGGGGGCCCCTGGAGGGGACTGGGAACTGAGGCTGGGGGAAGCCCTGGGCGGGGCGGATTCTGGCCCCGGGGGGCCCTGGGCAGTCTCCCCCATCCCCTCTCTGAGCCTCAGTTTCTCTCGAACACCTGATGCCCAGAGGCTTTCGGGAAGGGCGGTGGCTGCCTCGTGAGGGACCTCGTGCTCGGGCCACCTGAGAAGGTCGCGGGCTGCGGAGGGGGAGGGGGGCTAGGGCGTCCGGAGGGAGGGCGAGGCAGGTTGGGGGTCCGGAGGGTGGGGCCGGCCGCGGGCCGAGGTGGAAGCGGCTCCGTTGCTACGATCGGCCTTAGCAACGCACCCATTCAGCAGAGACAAAGGCGCTGTCACTTGAGCGCAGAGGCGCCGCTGCCGCTCTTGTTCCCACCGGCGCCGCTCCTGCGGGGGTGGGGGG